TCACAAGTATGGAGTACTCATCACAGTGGACTGGGTCAAGTACTATGAGTCGATTCCGCTACTCGAGTTGCGACGCAAGTTTCAGCGCCACGGAGCTCCTCATTGTTGGTTGAAGCTGGTCGTCAACATGTGGTCGTGCCCGCGAGTCATCCGATTTGGGCGACACCGCGCCCTGGCGGCCTTGGTGGCCACTCATGGGCTGCCTGCAGGCGACGGCTACAGCGACCTGGCGATCAAGGTCAACGCTGTCGACGCCTTCGACACGTTCGTTGAGCTGGCTCCATTCGTGGACTTCCAGAACTACATCGACGATGCTGGGCTCCATGTCGCCTCGAGTGATTACGTAATAGCTAAGTCAGCGGCAGTTGCGGGGATGAAGCAGTTCCAGGCGGCCAGTTCGAAGTTGAATGCGGAGCTGCACCCAGGGAAGCTGTCAATTGTCTCTACCTCGAAGGGGCTCGCTCGAGACGTGTGCACGGCTCTGCAGCTGCCACTATCTGTTTGCAAGGCGAGTGTTGCGTATCTTGGCATATATGAATCTGCAGGCGCTCGACGGTATGCACAGCGAGCTCGGCTGAAACAAAAAGGCCGCATTGCTATTATGAAAAAGCGAATTCGCAAGGTTCGAGCCCTCCGAAGGCGTTTCAAGGGACCCAAGGAGACCCCGTTCAAGAAGGTGTCCAAACAAGGCGTTGCTCCTGCCTGCGGTTTCGGGGCGGAGGTCTTGGGTCTCACGGCCTCGGAGTGGCTGAACCCTAGGAGAATGATGGCCCGCAGCGAGGGGGCTTCTCACGGGGGCGTTTCCCTCACGGCTAAAGTCGCCCTTCTTGGGGATGGTAGTGCTCGCTGTGCTATCGCTCCTGCTATACAATGGTGCCGCATGATGTGGACCGCTTCGCGGCGTCCCGATCTCTCGCTGGTCTCACGCGCTGAGCTTTTGAAGCTTTGGGATTCGTGTCAGCATCTGGAGTGCCCAACTTGGAACAGATCCCAGGGGCCCATCTCTAGAGCTGTTCTCAGTTTAAAGCGTGCTGGCTGGAGGGCTGAAGGCCCATGTTTCTGGATAGGCCACAATGGACTCAGAGTAGACCTGTCTGCCACGCCCCCTGCTCTCTTGGCCGTACAGCTGGAAGCTGGACTGCAGAGAGAGAGGGAATTTGATTTTTCTCGAACGCTCGGTTTCCCTCCAGGGACTAGGGCCACCCTGGGCCTGATTCGGGGCGAAGTCGGACCCAAGGCCCGAAAACTCACTCGGTGTCAAACGTACCTAATTAAGAGTTGCGGCTGCGGTGGACTGTGGACCAATGATCGTGCCATGCGTTCGGGGTACTTGTGTGACGGGTTGTGTGAGTGTGGAGAACGAGACACAGTCCACCATAGGTTGTATACCTGCCAGCTTACGCGAGTTGTTGATGCGCGGGCGGCGTCTGAGGTGCCTGATTCATTTTTCAGCGCGGCTTGCGAATATCCCGACAACCCCATCTTCACTCAAGGGGTTCACGTATATGAAGACAGCGCGTTGCCTTGCCCGTCGATGTCGCCTGAGGTTTATATTCATGACGGGCAAGGCAACGATCTGGACATGACTCCTGAGTCAATCGCTAGTCTCACCACCCAAGCCCCGTTGCGTCTTGCGTCAGATGGTTCGAGCACCAAGTCTTGGATCCGACCCTTGCAGCGCGCGGCCTGGGCGATCGCAGTATGTCCCGACGAGGGTGAAGACCCCGCGGCGATTGTCCAAGGAATAGTTCCAGGAGTCCTTCCGCAGACGCCTGCAATGGCTGAGCACTGCGGTATTGCTATTTGCGGTCAGATTGCTACGCGACCCACAGTGCTGGGTGCGGATTATCAGGCTGCCATTCGTGTCTGTCAGAAAAATGTGAATGATCAGCTTGCCCTCTCCAGCCAGTTCGCTGGAGTGCGGGCCTTCGCGCACGAGCTCGAAGGCACCCAGCTGATTCACACTGTTCGGCACGTCAAGGCACATCGCGATGACGCGGAGATTCAGGGCCTGGAGGGCGAAGAAAAGATCTTTGCGCTCGCGAATGCTGCTGCCGACCGATATGCAAAACAAGGCCTGAATTTGCACCCAGCACCGACGCCAGATTTTGTCCAAGAGTTAAGCCTTGCTGGAGAGAGAGCACGGCACTTCATCAAGCTTGCGGCACAGGTGCTCCCATGTTTTGACAATGATGCACGGTGGGCAAGGCCCCACAGATTCGGTGCTGCTCGGTCTCGACGACAAGTGTCGTGGCATGACTGGCATAAAGGAGAGCTCGGACTTCAATGTCGGAACTGTTTCAGAGTTGCCGAAGGCAGCCGTGACAATATCCCCATGGATGGATGTCGTGGGCTGCCGCCTTTCCTCCGTGGTCTGCTCCGTGACCCCATGGGACACAAGCTTGTCGCCATGGTTGGACCCCGCTCGAAGAATGGTGCGCTCTCGGTGTCGAGTCGTTTCTCGTCCAAGGAGCAGATCCTCTGTCTACGCTGCGGGGGTTGGTCCCAAGGGGGGGGTTTAAAGCTTGGTCGTCAGTGTGAGGCTCCGTCACGGAAAGGTCTGGAGATTTTGGCGGATTTCAGGAAGGGTTACTGTCCCAACCCGAGAGTTAGGGCTGCCCTCGATCGTGCGGTTCCGCTCGTGAGGCTTGGCCTTTCCGCTGCCCCTCCTGAGCCAGACGCCCCCACCGTGGTCCGAACCTCACACCCCAGTTCGCTGACGGCCCCCCCCTACGAGCAGCGTGTGTCAACCTTGTGTGAGAGGATTCGTCTCAGGGAACAGGCCGCAGCGGCCATGTCCCGTTTCTAAGATTTTTCGCTTTCCTGGGGTTCGATCCACCCCCCAAGCTTTTGGAATTTAGCCCTGCTTTATTCCTTATTAGTGTCGTGCACTCCCCTTCGGGTCTGTTCTTCTTCTTCTCCTCCTCCTCATTCTCCTCCTCCCGCCTGTGTCGTCCTCTTCCTCGTTCTGCCTCTCCTCCCGGACAGCCGCCCTGTGCGGTGAGCGACGCCCCTTTACACTATCGAGGATGGCTGCGATCGAGGAATGACTGCGATCGAGGATCCCTTCAGCCATCAGGAACCATGAGCCAGGGGGAGGGGTATGATGGAGGAGGAGGAGGAGGAGGGATAGGCGGATGAGGAAGATCATGCTGATGCTGCTGTTGATTATGATGATGCAAATGATGATGATGATGATTATGATGATGATGATGCTGCTGATGATGATGATGACGATGATGATGATGATGATGCTGATGATGATGATTGTGATGATGTTGATGATGCTGCCGTTCATGCTGCTGATGAGGATGACGATGATGATGATGGTGGTGATGTTGACGATGATACGGATGGTGCTAAGGATGAAGATGATGATGTTGATGACGATGATGATGATGCTGATGATGTCGATCATGATGATGCTGGTGGTACTGATAGGGATGCTGATGATGCGGGTGATGATGGTGATGATGATGATGATGATACTGATGTTAATGCTGATGTTGTTGTAGATGCTGATGATGATGGCGGCATGATGCTGCTGATGATTATGCGGATGAAGCAGCTGATTATCTTAATGATGCTGATGCGGATGATGATGATGCTGTTGCTTACAATGATGATGATGATGATGAGGATGATTAGTTTGATGGTGATACTGCTGATGATGATGATGCTGAGGATGCTGCTGCTGCTGATGAAGATCATGATGATGATTATGATGATGATGATGATGATGATCATCATGATGATGATGATGATGATGATGATGATGATCATGATGATGATGATGATGATGATGATGATGATGATGATGATGATCATGATCATGATGATGATGATGATGATGATGATGATGATGATGTTGATGATGCTGATGATGATGATGACGATGATGATGATGATGATGATGACGATGATGATGACGATGACGATGATGATGATGATGATGATGATGATGATGATGCTGATGCTGATGCTGATGATGATGATGATGATGATGATGATGCTGATGCTGATGCTGATGCTGATGATGATGATGATGATGATGATGATGATGATGATGATGATGATGATGGTGATGATGATGATGATGATGGTGGTGGTGGTGGTGGTGGTGGTGGTGATGATGATGATGATGACGACTGCTACGACGACGACGAGGAGGAGGAGGAGGAGGAAGCGGAGGAGAGGAGGAGGAGGAGGAGGAGGAGGAGGAGGAAGAGCATCAGCAGGAAGGCGAGCAGAAAGGCCAGAGTCCTCTTGGATGTCTCTCGGAGTCTCTTCGAATGTCTCTTTGGAGCTTCTTGGAGTCCTCTTGGGGCGTGGGGGCGGGCCTCATGGCTGTGCTGGGGCCCTCTTTGGGCGTCTTCGGTGCCTCGGGGGTGCATTTTGAAGCCTCTTGGGGACCTCTTTGGAGCCTCTTGGTGATCTCTTGTGGGCCTCTTGGGGCCTCCTGGTGCCCTCTCGACCACTCCGCAGGACCGGCTTTTCCCCCTGGGTCGTTGTTTGACGGTCCCAGGGCCCAGCGAGGGCCCTCCCTGGGCCGAAATCGACGAAAAGCTTCCCGCCCTGATTTTGAATTACAGTGGGAACCCATACCAAGAACCACCCGGCTTGCCTCCAGGGTGCCCTTGATTTCTTGGGTTTCGATAGTTCTGCTGTGGAGAGCGGCGTGACGTTTCCCGCACCGAAGATCCATGGACGTCCTTGGGGTCTCAGGGTTGGGTTTCCTGTGGCAGGCTTCTTGTGGTCGAGCTCCTGATGTACGCCGCGAGCAAGTCCGGGACCACCCCCCTCGGGGGCAGCACAGAGGGGGTGATGACTATAATAGGGGGGTGTGGACATCATGGCGTGGGCCATGATCTCTCCCCAGATTTCATAGCGCCTCTTCTTCTTTCCTTACGTCCTTGGGCCGCGCACATGCCGCCGGCAATGACTTGCACCCCCCCCTCTTGGACGCCCCCCTCTTGGCCGACCCCCCTCCCCGCGGCGAG